TCACAGCCCACGATCCAGCCCCAGCAGCCCACGGCCCAGCCCCACCAAAATACGGCCCAGTCCCAGCAGCCCACGGCTCAGCCCCAGCAGCCCACGGCCCAATCCCAGCCCACGGCCCAGCCCCAAAATACAGCCCAGCCCACTGCCACTCAGTCTGACACTCCCCCAAACACTCACCCCATGACCACCCGTGCCAAATCCGGAATAACATGCCCCAAACAAATCCTTAATCTTAACATCACCAGCCACATTTCTCCTCTCCCTCCTACCTACCGTAGTGCACTAAAAGATCCAAACTGGTATGATGCAATGTGTGATGAGTTTAATGCTTTGATTCGTAATAATACATGGGAACTAGTACCCCCCCTCCCCCACCCAAAATGTTATTTCAGGGAAGTGGCTTTTCCGTCACAAATTTGGCCCTACAGGGGATTTGTCCAGGTACAAAGCTCGTTGGGTAGTCCGTGGGTTTAATCAGCGTTATGGCGTTGACTACAGCGAAACGTTCAGTCCGGTCATTAAGCCCGCCACCATTCGCATCGTCCTCAGTCTTGCTTTGTCTCGGGGTTGGCCCGTCCATCAGCTGGACGTCAAAAATGCTTTTCTCCATGGACATCTTCAGGAGACAGTTTATGCCAGCCAGCCTTCCGGTTTTGAGGACCCATCCCGGCCCCACTATGTCTGCAAACTTAAGAAAGCACTCTATGGTCTAAAGCAGGCTCCTCGATCGTGGTACCAGCGGTTTGCCGGCTTCCTTCAGCACATCGGCTTTCAGGGGTGCAAGACGGATACTTCTCTGTTTGTTTACTCTCATGGCACGCACATGGCCTATCTACTTCTATATGTTGATGATATTGTTCTCACTGCCTCATCCTCTGCCCTTCTCACACGAATCACGGACCGTCTGAAGACCGAATTTGCTATGACCGACATGGGCGAGTTACACTTCTTTCTCGGGATCAATGTTCAGCGCACCAAGGAAGGCCTCTTTTTACATCAGACTCAATTCGCTCATGATATTCTGGACAAAGCAGGCATGCTTCACTGTAGGCCCATCTCCACTCCTGTTGACTCAAACGGGAAAATGTCTGCCACCACAGGCGAACCTGTTGCGGATCCGTCCCTCTATCGCTCCCTTGTAGGAGCCCTCCAGTACCTCACATTCACCAGGCCGGACCTCACTTATGCAGTTCAGCAGCTCTGCCTCTATCTCCATTCGCCTCGGACCACTCATCTCACTGCCTTAAAACGGGTTCTGCGCTATCTTCATGGTACCACTACACATGGGATCACTCTCACTCGCTCCTCGCCAGACTCTCTTCGGGCCTATTCTGATGCGGACTGGGCCGGGTGTCCAGACACACGCCGCTCCACCTCTGGCTATTGTGTTTTCCTAGGCGACAACCTGGTATCATGGTCCTCCAAAAGGCAACAAACCACCTCCCGATCGAGTGCTGAGGCCGAATACAGGGCGGTCGCAAATGCCGTAGCAGAAATTAGTTGGATACGTAATCTACTTCTTGAGCTTCATCAACCACTGCGCCGAACCACCATCATCTTTTGTGACAATGTGAGTGCCGTCTATCTATCCTCCAACCCTGTCCAACACCAACGCACCAAGCATGTGGAAGTTGACATTCACTTTGTTCGAGACAAGGTCGCGTTAGGACATGTTCGTGTTCTTCATGTACCATCCTCCTTGCAGTACGCTGACATCTTTACGAAAGGACTACCATCACTTCTCTTCACCGATTTCAGACAGAACCTCGGAATCCGAAGTTCACCAACGGAGCTGGTAGCATGTTAAATATGTAAAGTATATATCACATATTTAATATTATTGTTATATTTGGTAGATTCCTTGATTGTATAGGATTTGTATTTAATATTGTTTCCTTTCCAATATACCTCCTACATGTATATAAGGGGAGGTGATTTACTTGTAATTATCATCGAATAATACAATTCTTCAGTAGCTACCAGGGTCATGTATATATGTATAGAAATTTTTTGCGACAAAAGTAGTTACGGAGTATATGATTCGCTAGTCTTTTTTAGAAATCTGCTTTCCGTCGCGAAGTTCATCTCTAAAATTCTTTCTCATTTTTTTTTTATCCCAAAATACTGGACTACTTCATATTAGAAAAGTCTTTTTATCCATACTACTCCGTAATACTTATCATATCTCACTTTTATCTATCACATCAATGGTAATTCAGAAAAGTTAATAAAAATTATTTTTTATTCAATAAATTTCATAAAAGTCAAAAAAGAAAGAGATTTATTTATTTTTAAACCAACATTTGTCATAGATTATTTCTTGGTTCCAAAGTTGATTGGAAGAGAATTTTCCACGCTGGGGTGACTTTCTTGTAAAGCTATGGAAAAAATGGACAGAAATTATTTCATTTTGGAAGACCATTGACGAATTGAAACTGCCTAATATATACTTTCTCTGTTAATTAATCCTTGTTTGACTTGTTCCGTTCGTATGTAAATGAAATTAATTAAATGAAATTTCACATTAATTAAAAGTGTGCAAATGTCATTTGTGTATAAAAAAATGATACAAGTAATCATCAGAAGTTTTAATATTCAATTGAAATTACAAGAATATTGTACATTATTATTCTCATTATAATTTTTTTTCACTTTATGCAAAATGAAGTAAAATTTTAAGTTTTTTCAATTTGTTTTATTTAAAGATTGGTATATCAATTAAATATAAAACAAACATATTTAAAATTCTATCAAAAGTTCTACAAAACAAGTGGTGACACAAATATTTTATTTTGTCAAATATTTAATGAAAATGCATAAATAAGAGAAAATTACCGTGATTTTAAATAGTGAAAAAAAGATAATTTCGAGACAGAGGGAGTAGATTTTTTATCATTGTAATTTTTTGAATAACGTAATTCACAGATCTCTTAACAAAATTAATACTCCTTCCGTTTCACAAAACCTTTCCCCTTTTGTTTTATTTGAATTCTCTAAAACACTTCTACTTTCTATTAAAAAACAGCTTTTACCCTTACTTTTTCATACACTACTTATCACATCATACTTTTTCACTAATAACCAAACTATCACATTTTACTTTTACTCATCACATCAGGAGCAAAATTGGAAAGTCAACCAAAATTACATTTTTCTTATTTTTGCCAAAAGTCAAAAGTGGAAGAGTTTAATGGAACGGAGGGAGTACTTAGTATTAGAAATAATCGAAGAAAAAAGACAATTAAAATTTTTGATCTAGAAAATATTAGAAGCTAAACATCACATACACCACCAAAATAAACTACCAATTGTCACAAATGATCAAGGATGTTTATACCACGCATTATTTTTTTTGAACTATGCTAGTTGTACATCATATTTGTATACAAAGCTTTGCATAGTCACAAAATGTAAGTCCAGTACAATTTTACACTAATATTTTATGTATATGTAAATCTTAGGTGTATTTTTTTATTTCAATTGTTGCATACGACAACTTAATAAAAGTATTATTATATTTCAAAAAACGAAAAGAACGTATATTCCCTCTGTCCCAATTTGAAATGGTTGTTTCGTTTTATAATGTTTGACTGAGATTATTTTTAAATCATTTTATATAGTAAAATGGTGTAGAATTAAAAAAATAAAATTATATATATTGAAAAACTATATTAAAAGATACTCCGTATACAAAACTAGTTGTATTTTATCAAATAACTAATGAAAAAATGAATAAAGTCAACAAATAATCTAATTTGAGACGGAAGAAGTAATAATTATAGTCCTCTTTCTGTTCCACATTAAATTATCTATTTACCATTCACATGTCAAATTTTATTCACTTTATTTCTCTATTTTTGTTAGTAATATGATAAAATAATATAGTTATATCATCACTAATTTTATAAATCGTTTAGTCTAGTTTTAAAAATGTAATATTTATTTTTTAATTCTACACAAATTTTCAAATAAAATATTTTGAAAATAACTTTAGTCATAACTTTACTGAAGTAAACTCAAAAACTGTTTCATGAATCATACGTTTGGATCAATTGGGCAGGAGATGTAAACCTATTTGCAATTTGCAGAGAAGAGTCGTAATCGCCGGAAGGATTCCACCCCTCTCTGGTTTTTTCCGCCGGCGGTGGCTACTTTCCCGTCGATCGCTTCATCGAATCGGACCAGTCAATCCTCCAGCTGCTCGATCGATCGATTTCTCGATCCCTTGATCGCTCCCTCGAATTCAATTACGGTAATATCTCTTAGTCTCCACGTTTTCTCTATGATCATTGATGCTTAATCGATTTTATGGATTTGTATGAGATGTTTGGGGTTGCTTGATGATTATATCTGCTTCTTCAATTAAGATATACTCCGTATTTATTTATTAGGGTTTCTGAGAGAGGTTTAGGCATGGCTAGCGGGGTTGGGGGAGCGACTAACAGTAGGACGTCATCGAGCTCTTCATCCTCCAATGGTGGAGGTGATGCCGCGAATTTCGAGTGCAACATTTGCTTAGATTTAGCGCAAGACCCGATCGTTACACTCTGCGGTCACCTCTTTTGCTGGCCTTGCATTTACAAGTGGCTGCACGTGCATTCCCAGTCGAGCGAATGCCCTGTGTGCAAGGCGCTTATTGAGGAAGACAAGTTGGTGCCATTGTATGGTAGGGGGAAGAACTCGGCTGATCCTAGGTCTAAGTCGATTCCAGGGATGGAGATTCCTCATCGCCCCGCCGGACAGAGGCCTGAAACTGCTCCTCCACCACCACCACCACAACCAAATGCTTTTCCACCTCATGGCTTTGGGTTTCCTGGTGGGTTTGGTGGCTTTGCTCCGATGGGAGCTGCAAGGATTGGCAACTTTGGACTCTCTACCGCATTTGGTGGTCTCATTCCTTCTTTGTTTGGGAACTTCGCTCTCTCGGCAGCTTTTGGTGGTCTCATCCCATCTTTCAACATTCAAGTGAATGCTTTCCCTGACGCTGCTATGTATGGGGGAGCTGCTGCTCACCCATATGGATACCCAAACGCGTTTCACGGTGTTCCGGGTCATGGGTTTCTTCAGCGCACATATCAGCAACAGCAAGCTGATACTGCCTTCAAGGCATCGGTGATGTTCGCACTGATTGGGATCTTTGTCCTCCTTGCTCTTATCTGGACATAAGGTGTGTGTTTATCTATGGAGATTGATTCTTTTCTCACACAGTGTGTTTTCATTTTTCATCTTTAGACTGTACATCTATCCCTTAGACATCACATCATCTTTGTATCTCCCTTGGTTTGAAAAATGTCCATATACAAGATACTGGATGGAAGTTTTTGGGCTTCCTTTGCTTCAACATTTGTAGCTTACGAGCCTGTATGGTTAAGGTTTATATTTCTGAAGTGGTTCTATATGTTGAAATTTGTGCGGATGAAATGGCCGAATTTGATTAGTTTCTAAAAACTGTTAAAGAGTGTACTCTGTATATTTGAATACATAAATAGAATAATTGTGGAAGTTTTAGATATTGCGTTTAGGGTAGCCCAGTATTAGTTTTGCATAAATCTTGACTATATTAAGAAACAAAGCAGAAGCGGTAAAGGCAAGGTTTTATTGTAATAGTTCAACTCTCCATTCAAGTTGAAGATTATTTAGTTTCAAGATTTCATTTAGAGATAAATAGACCTATTTCATTGCCAGATATGCGAGCCGAGGCTATACTCAAAATCAGCAAGGCAGCAATAGGAAGGCTTTCACCCTCTTTGCCTAGACTTTTTTATACAGAGTAGTATACTTAAGACTAGCATAATTATTTTGTTAGTTTTTGTTTGTTCAAACTACAACTTGCTTGGTTATTTCTCAATTCAGTGTTTTGGACACTAATTGCAAGCTGCAACAATGCATCAAGGGCTTAGCGGAATTAGCTTATATATATATATATATATATATATATATATATATATATATATATATATATATATATATATATATATATATATTTATATATTATATATTTTACATAGCGAATTTTATGTACATGATTTGTTGCTTTATTTGCACTTTATTTGAATGAATTTTATTAAAATCATCATCTGCTGTAAACTCAAGTTACAACTTGTAATTATGTTTGATGCTATTATTAAACCCAAAATGCATCACATTAGTCTATAATTAATAACCAGCCACACTCTTTAATACAAAAAAGTGTTTCTGTTGTACTTTATATAATACTGGGGTGACGTTGAGTTGTATGACTTTGCCGATAGTTCCAGTCATGCAAATCATATCAGCCCATATAAACCTTCTATGCAAACTGGGATCCAAATTCTAACATAGACTCATAGAGAGACAATCATGGCCATCTATTCAAATAACTGTGATCACCTATTGCCATCTCTAGATTTCCATACAAGAGAGTTAGAGAAGAGGAATGTTCCGTTCTACATTTAAATAGGAGTATCAGTTTAGATTAAAAGCGAAATTATCTAATACATCGAAATAGAAGACATCAGTTTACATTAGTATGATATTATCTTTTTAAGGTATTTGTTCATTTCCCTAAAACTATCACATTTATATAAGGAACACATGGAAATCTATGACTAAGATAGTTGGGTAGACCTTTGGGCTTCATATTGGAATGCTAAGCGATCTCTGATTAGTAAAGTTTGCTAGTCTTTGCGCGTGCTTTCTGTGATTTGGGTCTAGTTGTTAGTGTTGGGGTTGCGTGCTTCGTACCTCGCTTACTATGTCCTTAGAGCATCTAAATTCAAAGTCTCACATTTATACAATTTTTTGTTAAAATTATATAGATGATATGCTCGAGTGTGTGTAAAAAAATGTGTTGTTAAAGCATTATTGAAAAACTAATATAGCATTTGAAGACCAAAACATAGAAGAGGGGTTGGAGATGCTCTGAGTATGCTTCTTTCCCCTTTGTTCTTATTTATTTTGTCTGTGCTCTTGTAAACAGTATCTCTACTTCGAAGTTAATATGGAGTATCTTTCTAGACCTTACTTTTCTACTCCCTCAGTTTCGTTTTAAATCGTCTGTTTTGATTTTTAGGCATATTTAAGGGAAAGAAAATAGAATAGATTTTTTGAAATTGTCATTATTTTTTAGGAGGGGTGACGATGAATGAGAAGATAAGGTGGAGAAGAGTGACTTATTTTAGGGGTAGTTTAGGTATTTTACTCTTAAAAGTTTACGATAACAAGTAACAGACAACTTATTTTGGGACGGAGAAAAAAGGCAAATAGATAATTTAAAATGAGACTGATGGAGTAAGATTTTACTGGATTTCTTGTTTCTTAAAATTTTTTCAGTTTAGTTTTGATGGATTAACTTTTTGCCACCCGGAGCCATTCTTGTTTTGTCTATTACTCCCTCCGTCCCTGAAAACTTTTATACTTTCTTTTTTCATATGTCCCAAAAAAAATTTCATTTCTATTAAAAAGTCACCTTTACCCTTTATTTTTAATAATAATCTATATATTACATCTTATTTTTACACATCACATCAATGATATTTTTGAAAAGTCAACACAAAAATATATCTCCCTTAAATCATCAAAAAGTCAAAAAGGAAGTTTATTTGGAGACGAATGCAGTAATACAATGGCCCATGTGTGTATGTGGGATGGGTTTCTTCATCAATTGCTTTAGGCCTTTAGCATTGTGGTGAAAAGGTGGTCTTACGCCCATTGGACAAAAAAGAAAATTGAAAGCAACAAGTTGTGATGGAGTTTTTTTACTCTTAGTAATGACCCCATTATGAATTGATATTTTGAAACCTCTTGGACTAAATTTCATAAATGATTCTTTATACGGAGTACGCAAAAATATTTTTCACACTTAATCTACCCCACGAAGTAATACTTTTTGTGATCTTGCATATTTGAGAAAATAACGTTGCTTCTGGGAGCTCATTACACTCAAACTTTCAAAGCATTAGGAAGTGGATATCTTTATAGAGTGATGCTTACATGGTCTCAATGTCTATATTTAAAATGTTGACATTCTCACATTTATTATGTACTTGCGTGTGGATATTTATTTTTTAAAGGTTCTTATGTCCACGGAAGAATTTTTGATCTTTTCTATAAGCTCGTGTCCGTTTAAATAAAATTGAGGGCAAAGAGAGGTGAGATTTTACTTAGTATTGATAACGTTGTAGTACACGACTTTCTTCCCTACATGACTTGTACCATTCTTTCTTTTTAACAGTTTTCCAAAATCAATCAGATAATTCTAAGACGCCATCACAATTTCTCAGAATTGATTGGAAAATTTAACTTGAAGAATAAATTCATTTTTGTTAACAGTCTCACTAATAAAAGGTGGAATCTCCACCAATTATGTACTCCCACAAATTCTACTTTGAGAATGATTGTGTTTTAGCTTTAATCACGAAACTAGCTTGTTTCCCTAGCGTCTCATTAAAACCTATTTGCTAGATTGAAAAGCACTAATCTTCATAATTGAAATTAAATCTTAATTTATCCAATTTCCTCCCAAATAAATATCTAACCGATCGATCTTAGGATCTAAAAGACGGAGTTCATCTTTTTGTTAAACATGTTTACATGTTGATTGCTATGTTTCCGCGTGAATGATTATTGCATCTAACTTTTTTTTTTATATTTATTTTTGGTCATGTGTCTTTATAATATTCTCTCCGGACATCATATCATTCCTTTGACGACACCTAATAAGTTAATGTTGCTTTCTGAAAGTATCATTTTGCCAACTCCCCAATGCTTAATTTGTACGTACTTTGTCTACCAAAGGTTGTAACCTCAACCATGAGGGCCCCATTCCTCTCATTTTCTCATAGATATGCATAAATATTACTCCCTCCCCCCGAAATTAATATTTTTATTTTTTTTCTCCGTCAATTCGTCATGTTTCAATCTCATTTCTCATACATACATTATGTTTGGACAAAAATTTCCCTTTTTATTAAAAATTTCCAACAACCTACCTACTCCCACTTTTTCAGTAAAGATCTTTTGGACAAATTCACCTCACAGTCAACCTCTTTAAAATGAGAAAAAATTAGACCCAGGCACAGAGATGTACTTCCGTGAGTTCCGTCCCATAAAATTTTCAAAAATGAAAACAAGCGTACCCTGAAAATGGGTTATTTTGATATTGTTTTTTAATTAGGACTAATTTATCATACACATCATATCCTAATAAAGTACGTGCAAAATTAGAAAATAATACTCGTATCTAAATTGTATAGTTTTAGAGTGCATCTTTTTTCCTTTCTGAAAAGTTTTGTAGGGCCAAGGTAGCATCAAATAATGCATCAATGTCTTATGTCTCTCCATGTTTATGAGAGATATGAGGGCATGTATATGATTGGAGTATGCTGTAAATGAGCATTATGTTGCGAGACGGGAAGTTTATTTGTAGACGGAGGGAGTAACAAAGAGTGAATCCGACATTTGGTACTTAGAGAGAACATATGCTTATCATAGTTATCTCTCAACGCAATTATCAAGAAATAGGAATCGGATTCAGATCTTACCTCCTTGACACTCTTTGCTTTTGCCAACTGCGCAATGTCTACCGACTTAAACGACGTTTTCAAATTTTATTTAAAGGGAGCATTTACTAACACGTGATTCTGGTAAGTGCATTCCATCATACTGATGCCGGCCATACAAAATATACCGACGTGGAATATGTACGTATGATTTACGGAGTACATACAATGTCCCATGCATTTGTGACTTGTGCATGGCACCCTATACTATGTACCTTATATATACGGAGTTCTTGGCATGCCCATCCTTCATTAATTAAATATTTGCACTAAATAACACTAAAATTTAAGTCATTTTTCTAAATAGCACTTAAACTGTTTTATTCCTTAAATACCACTTAATAATGTTCATAATGTCCAGTGATAGCAATTATTTGTTTGAATAATGACTAATACATAATGACTAAAAGTGCTACATTGGGAAGAAAAACACATGTGGTGCTATTTAGAGAAAGTCATTATGTTTTAGTGCTATTTAAGTAAATTACTCTTCATTAATTAAGAGGCTAGGTGTAGAAATTAAGAGAGAAAATATTTCTGTATATTGAATTGACTTGTGCTTACAAAGGTCTAACTCTCTTTATATAGGAAGAGAGTAAAGCATTTAAGTAAACTTTTATTCCTACCATATTTCTATTTCTACTATAACAAGAACTAAGCAAACTAGGAAAGATACTAAACCGAATCCCAAAGGGATTCAGTTTCCTTCTTTGATCCGGCTTCCTTCTTCTGTCGCCAACACCCCCCCTCAAGCTGGAGCATGGGAGTTCAACATGCCCAGCTTGGACATCAAGAGATTGAACAAAGCAACAAAGCTTGAGGAAGTCGCTGCCATCGTTGTCCAAGTGTCATCTAGACACTTCAGTTTTTTTCTTCGACGGAGACGCCAAGCTTTTCGAATCCGCCGAATAATCAGTCGAGTAAAGGAACGCCATTCTTTTCAAACCTTCACCGTATTCGA